CGATTTACGAAAATATTTAACGTTATCCTAATTTGTTGTTAAAAATAACACCATCTATATTTATAGCACTAGTAAAAATACGTTTTTTCCCACCAATTCAAGGAAAGGTGAAATCAGGACTAGCAGAGCCATCTATGGACAGAGATATTTCACAAAAATATAAAAAATGAGTACTGCATTTCCCCGGTGGCAATGGGTTAAATACAATATAATATATGAAATATATTATACATTCCATATCATAAATATATCAAATAATATACATCATATAACATATATTATATAATTTATATATCAAATAATATATACATATATTAAATACTATATATTATATATTATTTATTATATAACATATTATATATTATTCATTATAAAATATATTATACATTCCATATTATATAATATATTATATATATAATTTTCTCTAACCTACTCTTACAAATGTTTTGACATAGCTACACAATGGAGCTAAGCTCAAACCTACAATCACAAAAAAAGTTTGAAACCAAACACTTGTCTATAAATAAAGCTTTATTATATACAGCATAATACACTTTTCATTTACAACACCATAATGCTTGAGAGTAACTGAAGATGATTGATGCACAGTAATTAAGTAGTGAGGTTGTTTTCTGTTACAAAGACTATAATTATAAAGGAGCTTCAATCCATAATAACCAGTTATGAACTTTGCCTGAACCTATAACTATTTTCATACTGGAAAATCAACATCACTATAGGTAACAAATCTGTTATTTTGATTCAGTATTATGAAAAATACATGATCAGTCATATTCCCAGTATATGATCCCATCATTAAAACAATTTTTAAACCTTGAATTTTATTTAATGCTTGTTTACAAACCGAACTTCAGATGCTGTTTAACAGTATTCTTTCAAATCTACAAGTATGTAAAAAAGGCCTTAAATACTTTCGGTAGTTCCTATCTCTTATTTATAACTTCATTGAAGAACTTACACATTCATTTTCTCACAGCTTATTAATCACTTGTAAGTCTTCAATACTGGTGGAAGACATGCTACTTTTGTGCTCTTCAGTTTCTTTCCAAATATCTACCTTGCTCACTGATAAGCTGTTCAAGATGGACTAGCCTATGCAAATGAGGAAATTTGTGATTGTCCTGAAATTTCAACTCAATGAAATCATCCATTGCACTCATAAATATCCTGTATCAGTTTGCAATACTGAAGTCCTTTCTAAACGCTGGCTATGATTTTACCACCCACTTTTGCCAATTATGTATGCAATATCCACTAACCTATGCCTGATTCACAACATGACTTATAAGTCTCAAAGAAAACATAGTAAAAAATGGTTTCAAATCTGGCTATTCCAACTACAATTAATATATCCACCTAACAATATCAACAATTGCCATGGTATATTTCACATTTACTCAAGTAATTATTCATTCTTCAGCAAGTACAAAATAGAAGACTACAAGTGACCTAACATAAAGAGTAGAATTGTGCATGGAGTTTCACAAGAAATATATTGCAGTCACCTCATATATAATACTGCATTACAAAAGCAACAATTATAATATAAGCACAGCCTAATATTCAGATAACCAGACAATTTAAAGTTATCCTTTACATGGTTTCACAGTCTGCCTGATATACAACTTATGGTGGATGTGACAACCAGAGTTTACTTAGCTGGCCTTCTCCTTAGAATCTACAAAGTCTACATATCTTTTGCCCAGATAAAGAGCCCCAACTGCTCCAGCAGTGCCAATGACTGTGCGCAGTGCAGGGCTCTCTGGGGCAACAGTGCGACCTAGGGCCCATAGCAGCATCGATCCCAGGTTAAACATCACAGAGCCAAAGGCACTGAAATTGGAGAGAAAAAATAAATTTCTTCTTTAAATATAAATATAAATTTAAATATAAATGAAAGGCTGTACTGATCAATGATGAAATAGATTTCTATATAAAAAAAGACAGAAAGAAAGAAAGAAAGAAAGAAAGAAAGAAAGAAAGAAAGAAAGAAAAAAAGTAGTAGGTATTACTTGTCTCTGGTAGCTGCATCAGGTTGAGGAAAGGTCAGTATGCATAATAGATAATAGCAACTTTGTATTGCATAGCCCCCCCAAATTATAATTTTCTAAGGCTTGATAACTATGAGGAGAGGATAACCACAAGGGAATATATCCCAAAATAATTGGGTTGGTAAAGTACTATCACACCAGTCACATCAATTCAGATCAAATCACTAATCAATATCAATACTCAACACAGAGGATGACCATGCATAAAGTTTGACTCTTAGAAGATGGAGCTCATATAACAGGCAAAATATAGAGCTGGTTGTTGATCAAGAAATGTCAAGTAAGGAAACACTTATACACTGAATACATTCTGTTCTGCATAGGGCTGATGTGGTTATAGTACAAAAACAACTTGATAGCTATATGGTGCAATACTGTTACATTAAATGCCCTAATGTTAACCCTTTCCCAACGGGCATGGCATGTCCAAGCTACACTTGTATTAAACCACCAATGAGCCAATTACATGTACTGCCTATCTTGGCCGTTCACCTTTTTCCTTAAATTTTTAAAAATATTTTACATTATCTTATTTTGCTACAACTAATGTTTATAACATTATTTATTATAATTTTTATATAATAAAATAATAATAATAATATAATAATAATAATAATAATAATAATATAATAATAATAATAATATAATAATAATAATAATATAATAATAATAATAATATAATAATAATAATAATATAATAATAATAATAATATAATAATAATAATATAATAATAATAATATAATAATAATAATAATATAATAATAATAATATAATAATAATAATATAATAATAATAATAATAATATAATAATAATAATATAATAATAATAATAATATAATAATAATAATAATAATATAATAATAATAATATAATAATAATAATATAATAATAATAATAATATAATAATAATAATATAATAATAATAATAATAATAATAATATAATAATAATAATAATAATATAATAATAATAATATAATAATAATAATATAATAATAATAATATAATAATAATAATATAATAATAATAATATAATAATAATAATAATATAATAATAATAATATAATAATAATAATAATATAATAATAATAATATAATAATAATAATATAATAATAATAATATAATAATAATAATAATAATAATAATAATAATAATAATAATAATAACAACAACAACAGTAGCAATATCAATGGCATTAGAAAAAAAACTGAAAATATAAGGAAATGGGAAGCCATGCTGGGGTTACTAATTGACTCCTTGATGGTTGCCTGAGCACTGGTGGAGCTGCAACAACTAGTAAGGTGACCATGAATATCCTTATTTCATATGACAATACTGAAAGCAGCAGTGTTCACATTCTTACCAAAATATCACTTTGTCCTTTGGAGAAGCAGAAGCAAGATGAATTAGAAAAGGGAACAATAAAAACAAATGATTAGAAGTAAGAGTAAATACTACATGGAGACTTAAAAAAAAACTCTAACAAAATACCATTTCTGTAAAATACATATAACCATTCAATTTCCTCCTTTGTAGATATAGAACAAAGCTCTCAACACTAAATACTGACACTTGATAAGAGACTAGACTGCCTAGACTTCACTTTTGTGCTCTTTCAGAATAATTGTTCTGTTTGCCTGATCTGTGACATCTGACTGTGACAAAAGAGAATTTTAGCGCATAGGTCAGCTTTTGTGGCATAATTTCAAATAAACTTATAACTATAATGCTAATACACTGTGAAATGGGATTTCTAAATTGTAAACCAAAGTTTGTGTCTTGTATCAATATATATCTAACCCAATGCTGCCAAGGATGGCATGTATGTACATGACATACCCACTGTGACTTTAGTTTATTTGTCTAGTTGTGTTTACATACAGATGGCTCCATAAGTTCTTAGTTATCGATGAGTCAATTACTAACCCTACATACCTCACCTGTTTACCCTTTTCCTTGATAAAAAAAACAAACTATATTGCTATTAATGATAATAACAACACTAGTATCAACAGCATTAGAGAATACACATTCTTCCTGAAAACTCAAAGAAAAGGGGAAATCATATGAGATCATATAAGTCTACTAAGTGGTATCTTAGTAGCAGTCCACTTATAGAACCATCTATGCGTAAAAAAAGAAAGAAAGAAAGAAAGAAAAAAAGTAGTAGGTATTACTTGTCTCTGGTAGCTGTATCAGGTTGAGGAAAGGTCACTATGCATAATACATAATAGCAACTTTGTATTGCATAGCCCCCCCCAAATTATAATTTCCTAAGGCTTGATAACTATGAGGAGAGGATAACCACAAGGGATTATATTCCAAAATAATTGGGTCGGTAAAGTACTATCACACCAGTCACATCAATTCAGATCAAATCACTAATCAATATCAATACTCAACACAGAGGATGACCATGCATAAAGTTTGACTCTTAGAAGATGGAGCTCATATAACAGGCAAAATATAGAGCTGGTTGTTGATCAAGAAATGTCAAGTAAGGAAACACTTATACACTGATTACATTCTGTTCTGCATAGGGCTGATGTGGTCATGTGGTTATAGTACAAAAACAACTTGATAGCTATACGGTGAAATACTGTTACATTAAATGCCCTAATGTTAACCCTTTCCCAACGGGCATGGCATGTCCAAGCTACACTTGTATTAAACCACCAATGAGCCAATTACATGTACTGCCTATCTTGGCCGTTCACCTTTTCCTTAAATTTTTAAAAATATTTTACATTATCTTATTTTGCTACAACTAATGTTTATAACATTATATTAATTATAATGTTTATAATAAAAATAACACCATCGATATTCATAGCACTAGTAAAAAGTACATTTTCCTGCCAATTCAAGGAAAGGTGAAATCAGGTAAGGCAGAGCCATCTATGTGTAGAGATATTTCACAAAAAATATAAAAAAAGGAGCACAGCATTTCCACATTTTTTATTCATTTTCCTCATTGGCAATGGGTTAAATACTAAAATATTGCTCCTAAAAGATAAGCTAACTTTTAATTGTTACAGTATGGACTCATTATGCCGGGGCAAATTGTTGAAGATATTCTTCCATAAGACATGAACATTAATGCTACAAATAAAGGAATGAGATCCTGGAAAGCACCATTCTTAGCCAAGCGCACTTAGTGTCCATATGTTTCAGCTCTATTTTGCTATGTATACCAAGGTGAAGACAATGTTTGCTGGGGGGAGAGGGGGGCCCTCATCAATCCTCCCCTTTGGCAGTACCTGAAGGGTATACCCAGTCCAGTCGCAGTAACTTTGATTGTTGAACAAATTTTATGACATGGCACTGGGGACTTTGTTTCTGGGGAGTGCTTCCACACTAAAGAGTTACTATTTCATCGCCCACTTTATCATAAACCACCCAAAATCAGAGACAAACATGCCACTCTAGATAATAGGCCTACAGACACTGCTATCTGGTGGATGGGATAAAATATCAGCAAAAGTTTTGATCAATATATGATAGTAGCAATTCAATTATTAGTGATAGTTTCAATAAAAAAAGCTAATTCAAGGAAACAAAATCTGAAAGTTATGTCAATATTTATCCTATTAAGGCAGGTATTTCTCACTCTCCTCATGAAATCCCAAAGAAACATGATAATTCACATGGAAAAAGACTCTACAATAGGAGAACTTTGGTCAACTAATAGAAAAACTGGATTTTTAAGGTCCGACTATAAAAAGACTGGCTAACATTTTACAGAAAGGGCACTTTGTTTAAAAACCTCTCAGAATGCCTGAATAGATAGATGATGCTCCCTATTTTGCTTCCTCTGCTTGGAAAAGGCATACAATCTGAAACATATTTATGCTGTCTAATGTTCACCCTGAATTAGGATGTTCACTTTGTTCACAGGTGCTCTTACCTCTTTTTTAACCAGATATTGATAATACACATCAATCTAAAACATTTCTTCCCTATATTTTATCTCTACAAATGAATAATAATGCAGATAATATCTCTCATTCTCTACTATGCTTTCTGATTATCAGGTGGGTGTTGGTCATGTAAGGTTTGTGTTGCCAAGGCTTTCTCTTGCCTTTAGTTTAGTTGTGAGCATAACAGCTGTGATTGTGGAGCTTGGTACCCAAAACTCAGAGAAATAGTGGTTTTCTGGTAAAATGAAGGTTGAAAACATACAAAACACAACACAATTAACTAGAAAATGTATGTTTTGTATGAAATGGCGGCAACCCATACTTTTTCTGAAAAATTACCAATTACTTAAATACCATAGATGTATTCTTTACAACTATCTGAAATAAAACTTACTTAAATACCCACCAAAGAAACAACCCCTTAACCTGCCCAACAAAAGACCCAACTACACCCCAAACCCCACAGCCTCCCATTAGCAAACAAACCCACCGAGAACCTAGACCCCAAACTAGGTCACTCACATGAACCTAAAGTTCTCGTAGAGTTCTGGCGTGAACATCTGAGTGCTGAGCATCACGTAGGCCAAGGAGCCTTTGAGGGGCATGTAGAAGCCCATCACGCTCTTCACCGAGACAGGCTGCAGGCCGGCTTTCTCGAGGGCGTTGTTCACCTTCTCGGGGAATGTCGCCATCTCGGGGGTTCTCTTCGGTTCTCGTGTCTCCTTCTGGGGCTTCCTTTGGCGTCTGGGAATTCCTTCTTTTCAGCCTCTGTGCGGATTTTAGTCAGTTTTTTTCTTCTCCTGTCGGTCTCTCTACTACAGTGTTCGCTTCTGTACCTTCCGTCTTTTATTTCTTACACGCGAACTCGTTTCCTTTTTTTCCCACCGTTTCTCACTTTGTTTTGTAGTTCTCCTCCCTTCTTCTTCTTCTCTTATTCTATGACCTTTTTCCCCTTCGTCTCCGCCTTCTCCTTGCTTTCGCACTCGTCGGTCTCCTTCTTCTTCTTCTTCTTCTTCCTCTGTTTCTTGTCTTCTGCTACGATGTAAACAAACATTTTGGTTCTTATTGGTTCTCATTTATCTAAAGAAAAATATATTTCTAAATAGGCAAGCTTTATTTGTGGATATAGCATATTTCATAAGGTTTCAAAAATTGTTAGTTTTTATTTCCAAAACGATGTTTGTAGGGATATATTACAGAAAATGCGGATAATGAAACGCTGAATAAATACTCTTGATAAGACCTTCCTTGCTATAGATTTAAGATAATCTGCGTCATTCTTAAACAGCCATATGGGACAAACATAAATACAGAAATAGAAAGAAAGAAAAAAAACAATGACTTAAAACACTAGTGAATGAAAAATGGATATGAAGGAGAATGAAAAATAGGTAAATAAGATAAAATAAAAGCTAGACATTGCATTTGCAACACAAGTTATAGTGAATACTATTATTATTGATTTACCAATAACTTACTAAAGGAAATAACATATACAATCAGATAAGCAAATAACTAAATCCCAAAATAAAGAATCACACGAAACAGATAAAGAAAAGAAAAGAAAAGAAAAAAAAATATATATATATATAAAAGAAATGCGTAAATGTATAGATAGAAAAGATAAAACATCCAGACACAATAGCATAAAAATATATATATAACAACAAAACCTTAAAATTATATCCAGCCGAAAAAAAATAAGAAAAAAAACAACAAAAACACGAACTGGCAACGAGAGCGCGGGAAAACTCGGCGTCTCGAGGAAGGACGTCGAGCGAGGCGGAGGAGGAGAAGAAAAGCCTTATTTCAACCTCCTTTTTCACCCTTTTCCCTTTCGTGATTCGCCTCGGGTACCCTTCGAGGTGAGATCTCAACCTTCCGTCGAGGTAAATGGAGGACTGGCGTGTTTCGTGGTCTCTTGTGTTAAAGGATAAAGGAAAGAGAGATAAAAGTTGAAGGGAAAGTTTAGGGCTAAAGTTTTTGTTTCGTTTTCTTTTCTTTTTTTAAATCTAATTTTTGTTATTTTGTAGTTTTTGGGGGGTTTTGCTTTTGTTTTTATTTGTTTTGCTTTTGTTTTATTTCTGCTTATGTTTGTGTTTTGTTTGTTTTGCGTTTTATCTCGTGTGATTTATGTTATGGTTTTATTATGTGCATTTCATGTTATTATTTTATTTATTTTGTGTTCATTTTGGGGGGTAATGGGGGTGTAATATCGTATAAAAAACTTCCTAAAAGAGTTAAGATCATTGGTAATTAATTTACCAATACAAAAACCAGGACGAATTAAATCTCGTGTTCCATTTAAAGCATTTAAAGGGACCTCGATCGTTGGATTTTTTCCTCAAATTACTTTCGGAAAAAAAAAAGTTATTTAGGATGTGGTTCAGTTTGTTTATATCTTTCTCTTCACATTTTTACGTTCAAGCAATATAAAATAAAGATGATTTTGATTTGTGTGATATGTAGGCCTATGTTCACCTCAGTTTTACAAGAACAATAATAAATCACATTTTTAAGAGTTTATCTAAGTACTTTTAGGCAATATGGATTTGATATAGAATTTTTTCAATATTGGTTTTGTCTTTTAATTCTCATAATTCCATTGATTTTCTGCTGCATTTGTATTTTTAAAACTTATTTAGCAGTTCATAAAGCAAAGGTTCTTCAGGTGGGGTTTGTGGAGAGAAAAAAGCAAAATGCTGCGCGCTCAGGATCTCAGCGACTATGAACTCCTGCGGAACAAAAACATTCAAGAGAGGCAGCAGATGGTGAGTATTTTTATTTTTTCTCTCTATTCATTTAAAAGACAAAAACATAAATGGCTGTATGTACTGTTAGCTTCGATGAAGCTCAATGGATTTTTGCTATGTATATGGTATTGTGGTTGGGTTTAGTGGTTTTATGCTGGTATATAGCCTGTGTATTGTATTTACATTGTGCGGGTGAGATGAAGCAAACAATAGATGGAATGAATGACTAAATCTAAGGAGATTCTGTCAGTAGGACTCGTAAACCTGCCAATTTACTGTCGATTAAGAAACCAGTCCTATCTTGCCAGAATGTGTGGCAGAGGTTTATTGACCTTTGCTGGTGTGCAGAGCATGAAAAACACAGCAGTTGCTTGATACAGTGCCATTATCATGTTGGACATTGGATAAAAAAAAAAGCTTTTCATCACAGATTTAAGCAAGTTTTAAGTGGATTTGGATAAAAGGCAGTATAATTACCAAAGAAAGTGCCTGTATTGAAAGCTAATCTGGGTGTCTTGTTAAAGGCCTAGAAATCTTTACATTGACTTTCAAATTTATTTTTTTTTTTAGATATTTACCCAATTTTAAAGCTTCATTATTATTATTTGGTTCAGATATTATAAGATGGTAATTGTTCAGATGTAGGAAGCCAGAAGTGCAAATTGGAATGTTATGGTAAAATAGTAGTAATAAAACTTGTTGAATGGAAGTGTACTCACAGATGAAGATTCATGTGGCAAAAGTTGCCATAAGACTGAATAAGAGTTTATTATAAGATTTAGTTGTCAATGAATTGCTACACTTTAGCTAGATACAAATAAATGAGTATTGTATATAGATATTACTGGTTGTAAAAGAGGCAGATGAAGAAACAATAATTGTATGTACGTTTTAATACATTTATTCCTAATTTCAGATTGCTGCTCTCATGAAAGATTTTGAAGATCTGAAGAAAACAGTAGCTTCCCCAAAGCCTAAACCCCCAACTAAAACCACTCCGAAAGTCAAGAAAGTCGACGATGACTACTGGGGTTCGAGGAGAGAGTCGTCACGAAAGAGTAGATACCAGCCCTACTGGTCACCTCCACGTACTAGGTAGATATAGATATTTTTTTGACTGGTTTTTGCTTTTGACAAGTGTTTGCAAAAAGTGAGAAAGGTTCTGTAAGGACAGTATTTTTATGGAGACCATGAGTATGAAATTAAATATCTCCTTAAGTGCTGGTCTTTTGTATCTTTATCCCTTGTGGGCAGGATGTGTATACAGCTAGCTAAAAGACCCCAAGGCATAGCTGTTGATGGTTGATATTTTGCAGTCATGGTTGAATAAAGGGGACTATACTAAAATTGGTGGTGTGCGTAAGGAGTTCTCATGCAGCTGGAAGGGTGGAAAGGCTGACACAGATAGTTAGGGTGGGGATAGTGAACAGAATTGTGAGGAATGAACCTAGTGAACAAAGAATGCCATCTGTCAACCACACATCCACAGACTTACCCCATTTGTGAGGGGTAAGGGATGTTCTAGTAAATTTTTGGAGAATGACAGCATAATGTTTGTCAACAGATCAAGAAGGGCCAGCGTGAGTTCCTCCACTGTAAGTTCACCCTCTGACTGGCAGCAGCTGGAAGATGACGAGGAGGAAGATTCCAAACCTTTGTACCTCAAGTTCCGCTTCAGAAAAGTGGAGCAGATTCTCAGTGAGCTCACCGATGCAGAAGTTTCCGACGATGATGATATTCAAGTCTATGTGGATGTATGTATAATTTCCTTTATATGTATGTACATTATATGTATGTACAATTTCCATTGTATTTGATCCAAAACTGTTTTTATGTTTTGCTGGCTAGGTCAAAATTATGAAGTTAATATCCCCTTAATTTTATCACTAGGAAATGGTGAGGCTACTGTTGGTGTAGTTTATTGCAGTTGATATAGAATATTGATTAGATAGTGTATAATCTTTTAAGAAATAGAAAGTTTGTTGCTTCAAACATCTTGTGCAGTCTGTGTGATGAGTTATGGTCGAGGGTGTTTTGCCAAGGCCATTTACTATGATTTCTGCTTTATTATAATTCAAATTTTCTCTCTTATTCTCTCCACAGGATATGGATGTGAAGAGAATGAAACAGGCATCTAGGAACCTATCTTCCTCCTTCACATTTTCACCAGTCAAGAGGACAAGTACAGGTGGAAATGAAGGAACTGGTGCCTCGAGGAGAGGAAACAATACGTTTGATCCCAATATCAATATTCTCATGCCGGAGGACATAAGCAAAGAGGATCTTGACAATGTAGCTGACCGCAGTGGGGGCAAGATTTACAATGCGCATGTCGGAACTACATGTCATCAGTGCAGGTAATTTATAAAAAAAAAAAAAAAAGTTTTATTAGCTGTTGTATAGGTAGGCCTGCAATTTTATAGTTTTTATATGTATATATTACTTTTTTAAAGTAGAACTGGATAGACCGCATTTTGGATATAATATTGGAGATAAATTCTGTGTGTGTGTGTGTATGTTTGTAAGATGTAAGTAGCTAGAGTTAGATCCTTTTGTAATTTAAATGAGAAAAGTAAAATGCTGAGAAATCCTACAGAGAATGGAATAATGTATAAAGTGTCTAGTATGATAGTCAGACACAAATTTTGTGCGTGATAAAAAAAAAAGTATACGAACACATTGAACATGAGGTTTTGAAACAAGTTCATAAAACCACTAAACTTTCTTTACAGGCAGAAAACCGTCGATACTAAGACCGTATGTCGTTCTGGAGAGTGTGTTGGTGTACGTGGAATGTTCTGTGGACCTTGCTTGAAGAATCGTTATGGGGAAGATGTTAGGGAAGCTCTACTAAACCCTGTGAGTTGACTGTATTTTTGTTGATAGTTTTATTATATGTTACTTATGTATTTTATTATTTTTGTACAATAAAAAACATAGCTGTATTCTTTTTTTAATATTATAATGATCATTATTGTTATTTTTAATGTCAGAATATATTTTCCTCTACTTTTTGTTTATCAGATTATTTATAAGATGATTTTCATGCTTTGAAATATAATTTTATTTATTGATTTGTATTTTGTACAGAAATGGATGTGTCCTCCCTGCAAGGGTCTCTGCAATTGCTCAATCTGCCGGAATCGCAATGGAAAAGGTGCTACAGGTATTCTCATTAACATAGCAAAAGCCAAAGGGTTTGATAATGTGAAAGATTATTTGGAAAGTCTAATGAAGTGAATCTTGTAACATGATATCCATATAGTACTGTAGGGATTATTAGTGGAGATATTAGATCCAATAGCAAATAAAAGATCTATCAACATTTCCAAATGTTTACCTTTTACTGAGGCTTTTGGTATTGCTTCAGCTACCTGAGGCATTACTCTTTGGATGAAGTGCATTTTATGACCAGTGACTGATTTTTTCCAAACTTTATTACCAGTTAAGTACAAAATAGCTGTTTTATATATAGACATGAAATATGCATCTATATCAAAGCCAAATGTCATTGTCTAGGTTATTTGTTTTTAACCCATCAGTGCCTGGTAAGGAGTCAATGAAGAGACCTACCTGACCTCACCTGATATCTATGCTCCTTAAATTTTTGGGAAAGCTTGTTTTCTAATGTTTTCATGTGGTAATACTATTATTGGCATTGATATTAGACCCTGTTATTATAAATACTAATAGCAAAAAATGTAAGCAGAATTAGTAGACAAAGATCCGTTATCAAGTGGATATTGCAATTAGTT